CTTAAATTAAGTTTTGATGTGTGAGTTTATTATATTGGGTAAATTACAAAAAATTACCTTAATTATTGGTGTTACGACACTTTCATACCTTATCTTTTAAAATTGACAATTTCATACCTCATCTTACGAATTTGTGTCAATGTCAGACCTCCGTCAGTTTTCTATTAAGTTTGACCGTTAAGTTGTGAGCTAGCAGGTGTGGGAACCACATCCTTACCCAACTAAATTAAAAAATTAATTAAATACTAATAAATATATTTCAACAAAAAACTAATAAATATAGAAAATCATTTTTAAAAATTATTAAGAAAATGTGGGACCCACCCCCATCCCCTACCTTTTCCCGTCCCACCTTTGTACCTTTGAAGATCTTCGACCCAAACAGAGGCCCAAGACTCCCCTCCTCCGACACCCCATCTAAACCCCCACCCACTCCTCTTCCGATCCCTGCCAATCCCAAGACTCCGACCACCACCGCTCCCCGCCATCCTCAATCGCATCCCACCTCTGATGCTGACGTCATCCACATCCTCAACTATTCCAGCTGGTTCTCACCTAACCACATCCACCACTACGAGGTCCGATTCCTCCCCGAGTTCTTTGATTCTCAATCCCCTTCGAAAAACCCTAGCCTCTACAAGCACTACCGCAACACTATCGTCGCCAAATCTAGGGCCATCAACCCTTCTTGGAAGCACACCTTCATGGAGGCCCGCAAGTCTCTAGTTGGCGACATCGGCTCCGTTCAGAGGGTTTTTTATTTCCTCAAGACGTGGGGTTTGATCAATTACATTCATTCCCCGCTCAACAAACCCCTCAAAGTGGGAGGACAACAGCAAGGCCACCGGTGCTTCTTCTAATGAAGGCGATGAATCCCTCGCCTACGGTGCCAAGGAAAGCCCCAAGAAGATGACCTGCAATAACTGCAAGTCTGTTTGCAGCATTGCCTCAACTATGGAGATTTGAAATTGCCCCAAGAAGAGGACCTAAAATTGAGGTTTTCGGTTTAAAATTGGCATGGAGATTTGAAATTTAGGGTTAAGGCTTGGGGGGATTGGGGTTTTCTGTTTGAAATTGGGGAATTAGGGTTTGGGTTTGGGTCGAAGAAGGGAAAGGGTTCTGAAACAGAAAGAGGGACAAAGGTAGGGGACGGGATGAGTGCGAGTGGGGAAAGGGATGGAGGAGGGAGACCGCATCCCAGAGAGAGGAGAGAAAGAAGAGAGAGAGAGGGTGGTGGAGGAAGGTTGGGGGGATGGGGAAGGGTTTGGTGGCTATCGAAAAGAAGAAGAAAAAGGGTTGGTGCGAGTGGATGAAAGGGAAGGCCGGATCCCTTAGGCCATTTTTTATTTCTTTTTTAGTTTTTAAATTTTTGAATATTTAATTATTAAAAATATATTGTATTATTTTTTAATCCAGTTGGATTAGTGAGTGGATCCTGTCTTTGGCCACGTCAGCATTTAATAGAAAAACTAACGGAGGTCTGACATTGGCATAAATTCGTAAGATGAGGTATAACATTGTCAATTTTAAAAGATGAGGTATCAAAGTGTCGTGACACCAATAGTTAAGGTAGTTTTTTGTCATTTGCCCTATTTTTTTTTTTTTTTTTACATGTATACACAATAAGATTAGACAACTTATGAAAAATTCATCACTTAACATGTTTTTTTTAAGGAAACTGTTAGACAATGACATTGAGCCTTAAAAATTTAATTGGTCGGTCGCCACAAAAGTTAAAGGTTTTAAAGATGTCTATGTAGAAGGTGACCCCAAGCTTATTATTGATTATGTTTTGAACAAGCGCATAACACATTGGCGCTTGAAGACTATTATTGAGGACATCAGGTGGCTTGAACGATATTTTTCTTCTATAACTTGGGCTCATATCTTTCGAGAGGCAAATTTTCATATTGATGTCATTTGTAGTGTTGGGCACTCCATTCAGAATACCGATATTTGGGATAGGTCTTTACCTACTAGTTCTAAAAATGCTTTACTCTTTAATTGTACTGTAAATGGTTGTACTCGTAATTTCCCTCATTGAATAAATTTTTCTTAAAAAAAAAAAAAAAAAAACCTTGCGTCACTTATAGCGAAACTTTCTTAAAGTCCAATACCCAATAAACAAAACAGAAAGAAAAGAAAAAGAAACTCTATGCCACATTAATAATACAATGAATGTTAAGATCCGAAGAATCCTTTTTTTTTGTCACTACTTGTTCCAGCTCTCATCGTGGGAGGCTTGTTATTCTCTTATTATTATTCAATGAGAATATTTGTGTACGTACTAGTGAATACTTATCTTTTGTTTTCACCTATTGAGAATTAACTCATAATTAACTCGTGTTTTATTTGTTTAAAAATAATGAATATATCATTAATTTTTCTTGGGCTTTAAAAAATAGAAAAATTTAATAAAACACTTCTGGTATTATTTACTTTTAATGAAAAATCATATTTATGCATTTCTCTGGTACTATTTACTATACCTTTAAAGAGAATCTTTCATTAAAAGAGAAGTTTTTTTTAACTTTTTATTAATTTTTCTTAAAAAATAAGGAACACACTAACATTTTTTTATTCGCTCAAATCAGGAAGTGATTACGTAAAATACTCACCAATCAGTGCCTATGTCTTATCCTGTTCTGCGGAAAGCTCCTCATAGATCTTCAAAGATCCAAGGCTGTGGTGACCAAATCTAAGCAGTGGAGACCGAATCTTCAAAGATCCAAAGCGATGGAGACCGGATCTTCAAAGATCCAAAGCGGTACTGATTGCAACCATGCGAAATACATATCAGAGCCACCGCATAATTTGATGTCCGTCTCTTGAGGCGAAGATGAAACCTACTGAGTATCAGTTTAAAATGTAGCAATCCCTCTAGCCATGAAGCTCCATACACATCAAGTTCAACCCAAAAGAACTTCCATATCTTGTGATTTCTGACTATTCTAGGGTCATTCAATTGCCATTTCATTTTTAGTTTTTAGTTTTTTTTTTAAAAAAATGAAAACTTAAAGACAAATTTTGATTTTGATTTTCAGTTTTCAACTTTCAATTTTTTTTTTTAAACTAAAACGGAGAATGAAATGGGTATCAAACAACGCTAGATTAGGTTCTCTCTTAATCCGCCGACTCCCTCTGACTTGTCCTCTCACTTCCCTCGATTCTGTTTGATTTTAGGTACTAATCCCATTCACTTTTACAATTAATCAATTGGGTAATCTTTAAATTTAGCATTTTGATGGTGAAGACTGAAGAGTAACCACCGTCAACCCTAGAACTCCGACTTTCTGGAGCACTCCTCGAGGAAGGAGAATAAGCCGTTTTCGGTGCCGATTGTGAAGCTGAGGTGGGCGGCAACTAAAACCGTGACGACCTGAGCACCTTCCGACACGAATTCATAAACTTTTTAGAGATGTCCGAGCCTAGGGCATCGAGCTCAAAGCCAAAAAAAAGAGGAGCTTGGTGTCGGGGCATTCTTCTTTGGGCACTTGGAGCTTGGCGATGCAAGGGGCGAGGGAGGCACCAACGCGGTCTGGGTGGGAGGCGGAACCGGGGAGATGGAGGTGTCAGGGGGGGAGGAAGAGGAGCTGGATCCTGTCGAGGAAGTGAGAGATGAGGATGTGGATGGCGGAGATGACGATGGCGAAGAGGGTGGAGTGGGAGTGGACGAATTTTAGGGAGATGTGGAGTTTGTGGGTTGTGGGAGGGGTAGAAGAGGGCAATTATGAAGTGTTCGATTCGAGGATTACATTAATAAATAATTTTAATGAGTAAAACAGTTTACTCGTTAAATAATGGGCATTTGAGCCCAATCATTTCACCCACAAACTTAACAGGTTAGGACGTTTAAGTAACTCAAACCAGCCAAACTCAACTGTTTGCCACCTCTAATTTCAACCTAGTCAAATAACTGAAAGCATGTGACAATGTACTTGGTTTAAGATCATCACTCAACTGTCTGTATCTCAAATCGCAACATGGGACCAAAGTGCTACTTAAATTAAATACTAAAATGCAATCCACATCAAATGTTGAAGTATCATTTTCGAGTTGTTATTTTCCCGGCAGAGGACGGCAAGAACTACACCACGTGACGAAAGAAAGGCAGTACTACTCGCTCGGAGGGCTGTCGACGGCAGCAACAATTACCGCTGCTTCCTTCGCTGCAACAAAACCACTCCCCTGCCGACTTGGCATCCACGTAGCAGCATCTCACGTACCCCATTCGGCCAACTACTTTGGGGATTCACGCCACGCGCCTCCGGCGAGTCCTTCATTGAAACTCTCTTTATCAGTTTTCTAGTTCTCATTTCTGAAAAAAAAAAAAAAAAACAAAAGGAGGTCAGATCTTGTATGGGTTTTCTGCGGTTTTTATTATTCAACCCGTGTTAGGTTTATAATAATAAAGTTAAGAAGTGCAAAATTTACTAGTGTCTATTGACAAATCCCACAACCTCCAGGGGTAGCAAACGCTAGCAAATCCATATACATCATTCACTTGCATTAAGACACAATATATCAATTTAAATAGTTGCATAATTTAAATGATGTATCATCAATAAAAAATAAACACGTTAACCAATACGTAAGTAATAATTCAATCATTAACTTCCACATCATTTAGTTTACAAAGTTTAGTCTGCAAATTTAATCTCTCTAACATTACCCATTTATAATTCTCAACCGGGTATGTTTCAATCTGCTGGCCTAAACAAAAAAATAATGCTAGATAGGCTAAATTTGTAAATTAAATTATGTGTATAAAAAAAATAAGCACGTTAATTAACCATTTAACTAATAATCCAATTCTAATAATCAACTATCATGTTATTTAGTTTACAAAATTTAATCTCTTTGACATTATTTCTAAACAAAAATTGTGTAGAAAACCAATGTTGTAAAGTGCGAGTGGAACATGGCATTCCTCCCCAAAATTTCGACCTAAAAAATTAAAATCCCACATAAATGTATAAATATCTTCCCTCTTTACCCGATTGCCTACTCCTACTACCACTTAACCCTCCCAAAAACTCCTCTCTGCACACAGAAGAAAACTGAGAAGGAAGAAAGGGCCTTGAGCTGGAGAAAACCAAATCCTTTCCTTAACCTTCACGCCTCCATTACACAACCCCACTCCTCCTCCTCTCTCTCTCTGTCTCTCTCTCTCTCTCTCTCTCTCTCTCACTTCTAATTATAACCCTTGTTTTTTTTTTTTTCTGCATTTCCTATTCTGTTTTCTATGCATTAATGTTCCTCATCAGTCGCTCAGAAACCCCACGCTCCTGATACGCTTTGTGTTGAATCTTCTCTCTAAAATCTCCAAACCCTTCTTCCCAGTTGCCTAAAAGCACAAATCTTTCCCTCCCCCACCACCCTCTTTAAATTCATTCCCACCTCACCATGATTTTCCTCAGGAAAACAGAGTGAAAGAAACACCAACCTTAACAGTTCCATTAGAAACAGAGCAAGTAAAAAGGAACCCTCAAAGGTTTCTCTCTCTCTCTCTCGCCCTCATTCGCTTCCCCTGTCTAAATCTTACACTTTCTTTCAACTTTCTTGGGATTTTCCGACATGGGTTCGTCCAAAAAGCCCCAACAAGAAAACCAAGAATCCAATTCCAGGATTCTTCAAGGCCCTATCATTGTAGGCGCAGGACCATCTGGTCTCGCAGCAGCAGCTTGCCTCTCTAACAATGGCGTCCCTTCTCTGATTCTCGAGAAATCCGACTGCATAGCTTCTCTATGGCAGCAGAAAACTTACGACCGTCTCAAACTCCACCTCCCCAAGCAATTCTGCGAGCTTCCTCTCATGGGGTTCCCTGAAGATTTCCCAAGGTACCCTACAAAATCCCAGTTCATTTCATACATGGAGTCCTACGCCTCCCACTTCTCAATCAAACCAAAGTTCAACCAGGCCGTCCAGACCGCAGAATTCAATTCCGTTTCTGGGTTTTGGAGAGTGAAGACTCAGGATTATGAGTACATTTCCAAGTGGCTGATTGTTGCCACAGGAGAGAATGCTGAGCCGGTTGTACCGGAGATTGTTGGGATGGATAAGTTTCAAGGCCCTGTTCTTCACACCAGCCTGTACAAGTCTGGCTCTGATTTCAAAAGCCAAAGGGTTTTGGTTGTTGGGTGTGGAAATTCTGGCATGGAAGTCAGCCTTGACCTCTGTAGATACAATGCCATCCCTCATATGGTTGTTAGAAACACTGTAAGCCTCTCTCTCTCTCTCTCTCTCTCTCTCTCTCTCTATACACATATAATATTATATATAATCTTGATTATTTTCAAATTTTGGTTTCTGGGTTTTGTTAATCTATGTGATTAAATTAAGGGTTTTTGGTTTTACAGGTTCATGTTTTGCCAAGAGAGATGTTTGGGTTCTCAACATTTGGGATCGCAATGGCACTTCTTAAATGGCTGCCTTTGAAGCTTGTGGACAGTGTCGTATTGCTAGTAGCCAGTTTCATCCTAGGCAACACAGACCAATTAGGGCTTAAGAGGCCTAAAACTGGCCCAATTGAGCTCAAGAATGTCACTGGTAAAACCCCAGTTCTTGATGTTGGAGCATTGTCACAAATTAAATCTGACAAAATAAAGGTACTTAGAAACTTACCCTTTTTTTTTAATTTTTTAATTTTTAATTTTGAATTAGGGTTTTGGCTAAATTGTTAGTTTTTGTTTTGCAGGTGATGGAAGGGGTGAAGGAGATAACAAGAAATGGAGCAAGATTTATAAATGGACAGGAGAAGGAGTTTGATTCTATAATCTTAGCAACTGGGTACAAAAGCAATGTGCCTACTTGGCTCAAGGTAACCATCACCAGCTTGCTCTTTTTTAGTTTTTACTTCTAACTTATTATGCACTCACCTGTCACTCTCTCTTGGATACATTCACTAACTATAGGCCACATAGTTCCACATACCTACAAACCCCTTCTTTTCTCCATGCAAAAAAGAATAAAACAATTTGAGAGTTTTCTTGTTTCTAACCCCCAAAAGAATACTTGGTCTTTTTGTTTGGACTCTTCCACGAGAAATTCCAAAGTGTCGTAGGATGTATATACTAGTTACGCTATGAGGAGTAGAAGTAGTAATACACGGGTGTATATATTTAGTGACATGGTATAATCTCTACATTAGTGTCACTGGATGTATACACTCGTTACACTACGAGAAGTAATGACTCAAGTTTCAGTGACACTTCATAATCTCTTCTCTTCTCCACCTAGAATTCATTTCATATTATATTTTTTTGTACATATGCAAGCTAAATACCTTGTGGGGTTTCATGTATGATGGTTACTATTCAGCAAATATATTTACATTTTTATTTGATTTTTTGGTATATTAGGGTTGTGACTTTTTCACCAAGATGGGATGCCAAAAACATCCTTTCCCAACTGCTGGAAAGGAAGTGATGGTCTCTACACAGTTGGCTTCACAAGAAGAGGGCTTCTTGGAACGGCTTCTGATGCTGTTGCGATAGCCAAGGATATTACTCAGCTTTGGAAGACAAACAAAGATTGCAGGAATAATTACTGTAATTCCCATGTTATCCTACTGAAATAATCTCCACAAATTTGAATTGTATAAAAAAAAAAAGGAAAAAAAAAATAGGAGAGTTGTTATATCGTTCTCTAAGTTAATGTATTTACAGGGGATAATGATTTTAATTTCACCTTAGCAATGCTTTGCACTTCAATTTTTTCTCTTTTGGGTTTGTATATGTAACAATTTTGCTGGGGGCTTTGACTTCGTTTCCGTCTCGTGTATGTTCCTTAGCTTTGTAGTTTGTACAAACAATTTCAGAAATAGAATGTATTTCTATCTCCGTTATTCATGAGAAGTTTCAATTAATTATACGCGAATTTTCATTATTCAAGTAAATTCTCATCTTCCAAACAGTTATGGTTACGTTTTACTTCTGCATGGAATTTTCATCGTTCAAGTGATTCTCATCTTAAATGAATGCAGGCCAATCATTATTTTAACTTGATGATTGCCAAGTTTAACCAAGAAAAAAGGTTGGATTACTACTTTCCGGGCCAACAAAATATAGTATGAAATTGTTATATCTGCATGGAAATTTAAGGTCCCTAACGCCTTCACTAAGAAAATGATTCAGAAGGTCTGAATTTATTATAAGTTGAAATGCTACTTATATTTTAAACAATGAAATGAAACAAATATATTTGAATCAAGGATCAAACAAGGCTGAAACATGAAGGGAAACAATATGAAACTGAATAAAGGGGCTCAATATTCATGCAACTCAAAGGTTTAAAACGATGGAAGCAAAGCAAAGTTTAAGTGTCTAATCTAACTTAAATCACCAATTCCTACTTGTTGCAATAGATTGATTAAACAACTTTAGTTTTAATTTATTTTTCGCTGAGATGATCTTTACAGAGTAATTCATAATATAATAGTTCTAATCATAAGCACAAAATTCTAGATTCGAATAGAAAGAATTATGAGTAGGAATTTTTACTCATCCTTGAATAATCAAAGCATTATTCTATTATGGGCTAAAATATTTTGGATTTATTTTTTAGACGTTTGCATCTACCACTTTAAACAAGATGTGCAACTCTTCTATCACTCTAGTGTTTCTCTGAATTTAACTGTCTACAACAGAAACATTTAATAAAGTTGATGTACACAGTATACATAAACACAAGAATGTGGAATGAGCGTCTATAGGCGTTTGCTCTGGTAATGCATTTCTAGTTCACCAAAAAAAAACTCAAACATTCAGCTCATTAGAAATTACATTTTTAATTCTATTAAAAACACATAGAATTTCTAATGGAGTATCACTTGTCATGGACTTTTGAGTTCTAAATTTCTATTAACATACAAGTTATGTTACTAGTCTATGCATCTTTGAGTTTTAAATTTCTACTAACATACAAGTTATATGCTACATGTCTGTTATATTTGAATGTTTATTGTTTGGTTAACTATATTGTAGTTGTTTAATTAGAAATAGGTACATTTTATGTTAATGAAGGAAAATGATACACACGCACACGCACCTACTTTTTTAGCTGTTTTTTTTTTTTTTGTCTCACACACACACACTCTTGTTTAATCTTATTTGTTGTTTCTGTTTGATTTATTTAATCTTATAGTCATGAATAAAGAGGAGTGAATGAAAAGCTAAAAAATTTTGTATACAAATCACCTTTCTAAATAAATTTATATTATCTGGTTTCGTTTATGAAGGTGCAATTAATTTCTTCATATTTTCTAATATATCCTCTTTGATTGATTTTTTTTTTTTTAAATTAATAAGACTTTCAACTTGAGTGCTACTATGTTAAGACTTTTTAATATATCCTCTTCACTCACTTTATATTAATTTATCATGTATATTTTAGTTATAAGGTGGGTGAAAATTTATGACAAGTAGAGGGGCTTGGCATCAGTCTTCCAACTTAATCCATAAGGTGAATCTTTCCAATCGATTTTGAAATCCTTAGATATCACCAAACAAATAGCTAGTTGATGATTGATAATTTTTTAGAATTAAAAGCGATAGTATTACTACACAGTAAAAAAAGGAAAGTGTTTAAACCTGAAATGCAGTGGCTAGCTAGTGGATTGAAAAAAAAAATCCACCCGGCATATTTTGAAACTAATTGGTAAAAGAATTTTAACCAAATAACTAATGATCCATTTTGGGGTTTTGAATATTAATGCAGGTCAAATTGATCCATTTACATATGCTGAACTGATTAAGTGGTTGTCCATTGATTAATGAGGGACATATCCATCTTACAAAAATGAAGTCAGACTTGTGGTCAAAGAGAGGCTGAAATGTCTTTGTGAGTCTTTTCGGGCTGCAGAAACGATGGATAATCGTGGTTTACCATCAGTTGTCTTATTTTTTAGGAAAAAAGATAAAAAAAAATATCTTACAAACATGTAGTGGAATGCATTCCACTCTCTGTTCACTTACACTTCCACAATTCTCATTCACGTTTTCTCATATTTATATCTCCTTTGTCCATTCTTGGCAGTCCCCAAACGTGTAGTGTAGGTTTGGTGAATGAATGAATGAGCTCGCTCGCTCGATCCTCTCTTTCACCAAACAAAAAATTACCCTTGTACTTTTACATATCTCTTTCTCAAGTTTTAGGGTTTTGGAGGACAAATTTATGGGTGTCGCTTTAATGGGTATGTAGCATTCAGTGCTTTCTAATTATTAAATTTGAAATTTTATTTTTAATTTCAATTATTCATTTTTAGTACCGCTCATTCAAATTACAAATTATATACCCACTCCGTACCATAAAAAAATTACAAATTATATACCCACTTTGGCAAAATTTGATAAAATGAGTGTGGACATAATACTTACCCAATACAATCTTAGAATGCTGAATTTTGTATGTTGTATTTTGACTACTCAAAGATGAGTGAGAAGTTATATTCAAAAATTTTCATGACTGATTCACATAACTTCATGTTAATCATACTATACATCACTCTATAAAGATCATATCCGCAAAAAAAAAAAAAAAATCAATTAAAATTAAGATCATTTAGTTAATCAACAGTAGTAAACAAATAGACAGTTCGTAATGCTTTATTGAATTCGTCTATTTGTTTTTTATATAGTTCATTGCCTAATTTGTATTTATTTTTTACATAGATGATTATTACATAATAACTTATAATGTGAGCAATTTCGATCATAAGCACCAAATTTTACGACTCGGACACAAAAAAATTTTGAGTAAAAATTTCTAGTCACCTTTCAGAAGTCAAGTATAATCGTAAATACTTCTCAAAAAAAAAAAAAAAAGAATGTGTGATTGTAAATAAATTTGGTAAAAAGAAGAGTTCCACGTGCATGACCTTTCAGTTGGTCATTCAATGCAAAATTCGAAGATTTCAAAAAACTTTTCGTTTCCTTGCAGAAATTTCTGCAGCTATTTTTATTTTTGATTACACCAAAAAATACTGCAGCTATTTTCTTGCTTCCTGTGCTGCCAGCTTTCCATCACAGTCCCATCGTCAAATGAGCTCCTCGGTCTTCCAAGCTAGAATTCCATTTCTATCTGCAATTTACAGGAGCGGTACCTGTTGCATAAATTCAATTAAAATTCTAATATTTGTACAACAGTATCAAGATTTCTTGTTTTGTTTCTAAGAAAAGGTTTACGTGCGAGCAGTCTAGGAGGAGCAAATAACATTCAGACTTGCTCTTTTGATAATTTTCCTTACCTTAATATCTGCCTTGCATTCATGATATATGTGATGATCATGACAGTCCTATGGCATATATTGGGAGCTAGGATACTAGGATAGAGAGAGTTAAGACTATTTATATTTTTAAATTAATATTGAAGTATTTCATTTATATTTCTATGCATTTTATTAACAATGTTATATTCTTTTATGCGCCTTAATTCAGTTTTTTCATCAAATTATAGTCTCCATGTCCATATATGTTGGACTAATAACATTCCTCAATTTGAAAATTCCCTTTCACATATTTTTTTTGTCATGAGAATGTTAGTTAAATCTCAACTTTTCATTTTGCTAAAATATTTGGAGGTGAGATTTTTTTCTTATTGAATTTGCTCGTCAACAATGATAATCAGACATCGTGCATTTTTAAAGGGATATTCAACAATCCTGACATGTTTATACAGTGTTAAGTCTCACATTATGTATTAATATTCTTACACATTTCATAACATGAGATTAACATGTCATGTGGTTTATTAGATAGTCAAACACATTACAATGGAAGGAATCGTCCTAATTCATTTTCCCACCCTCCCACTCTCCTTCTCGAGAGATATATACACATAATATTTTGGTGAAGATGAGGTCAGGCAAGTTTTAGTAGAAGATCTTAGGCACAGCAGTTTGCATCAATAAATATGAGGACACACAGCAGGTAAAAGGTCTGTGTAGGTAATTAGGTCGATGAGATAAACCAATATGCAATTTCACAATCTCACAATCTCTCTCTCACGTAATTCTCAGGACCTGATAATTGAGACAATGATGGGGCTCTGACCCCTCCTCCCATATCCACGATTGACAGCTCTCCTTCCATTTCCATCCATCTCTTTCTTTCTCTCTCTCTCTCTCTCTCTCTCTCTCTGATGCAAATTGCCATGCATGCAGGCGTGACCATTTCCCCAATTATACATATGACAAAATTAGCAAATATATATACTCAAGGATTTTAACCCTTCAAAAGTCAGTAAAAAAAAAAAATGAAATAATCAATATTTAAAAGTTAAAAGCTTCAGTATTTGATATATTATGTAGCACTATATTTTTGCGGAAATAATTCAAAGCACCATAACATTTTTGCTAAATAAGATGAGATTTATGAAATCGAAGTTAATATTCTCTCTCTGCCGCCATATATAAGACAATGCATGGTGATGAAAGACAAAGATAGATATAGATGGGGGTCACTGGGTAGAAAAAGTCCAAGGAGAGAAAAGCTAGCTAGCTCCAACCGGGGGTGTGTATTGAATTCGAAATCCACTTCACACGCTTCCATGCACGCGTTACGGTGCCAGGAACTTACGCCATGCTTACCTCTTGTTCTCCCTCTCTTCTGTACTAGTACTGACCCATTCTGCAGAGAGATCACAGAGAAAGGACTGAGAGGCAAATTGCATGGTTGATTGAACACACACTCTCTCCTCTTTTCTCTCTCTCTCTCTCTCTCTCTCTCTCTCTCTCTCTCTGAGAATCTGATCTCTTGTTAGATTCATTTCTTACCATGCACCTTGCATTCCACCTGATGCCAAGAGATCCCCACCCCACCACCCCTGTTTGGCCTTTCTATTCC